GAGAGAGAGAGCATGAGCAGGGGAGGGGCAGAGAGAGAGGGAGAGAGCGAATCCCAAGCAGGCTCAGCACGGAGCCCAACAAGGGGCTTGATCCCATGACCATGAGATTATGACCTGAGCTGAAATCAAGTCAGACGCCCAAATGACTGGGCCAGCCAGGTGCCCCAAATTCTTCTCATGTTTTTTTTTTTTTTTTTTTTTTTTTTTTAACAATAGATCACTTTCAGATATGGCTGTACCTTCTTCTGTTTGACACTGAGCTTCCACAACTCCCTAGCTCATATCTATTATTACCTGATCTCTCCAGTGGCCCTGATTTTAAAAGGGTCTGAAATAACTTATGAATGTGATGTCATTTTTCCTAGACCTCAGTCTGGTTCCCTCCCCATTGCTGTTCCTTTTAACTTACAGAATCTTTCAGCTTTCTATTTAGGTATTTATCATCCAGCAGATAGAAGTCACTAGAAATTCTGAAATGTTAACCCCTCAGAATCTGGCCACGATCTACAGGAACACAGAATTAGAAAAAAATTCTTTACTTCAAACTGGGCTCTGAATGCCTTTAAACCAATCACCTTCAATAGCCATTTTCATCTCAAGATAGACAGTAAATGAGCAGAAATCCTCCAATATTCTTTCAAACACCATCTGAACCCAAATACCTACTCAATTTAACAGAGCCATCCATCCCAAGAAGGATATTGTCACTCTTTATGTCTCTATGGATCACTTGGTTTGAGTGCAAGAAATCCAAAGCTTGGAGGCACTATTGAATCAGAAAAAAAAAAAAAGTTCTAATTATATCGCAAAGAATTTAAAACAATTTACATTTTGTTTCTAGATATACTTGGGGCAAAGGCATACTTTTGCATTGTCAAGGAAAATAGATTACTATTGTAGTATCATTTTGAAATCACATTACTGTTTACATCAATGCTGTAACTTAGCAGAATACATTATAAAAGCTTCTGAGTCAGCCAAACTAACCAATTAATAATCATACTTTGACCTAGTATCTGGAGGGTACGGATTCAGCTTGGTCTTAAACAGCTGTACTAAGCTTCTGTATCCACGGTATTTAATTCAGTAGGCCTGAAGTGGGACCCAGGAATCTGCCTTTAAAACGAGTGCCCCAAGCTACCCCTGATGGACAGCCATGGTTGGGAACCACTTCTAGTCTATGAAGTGGCTACAGTTACTTGCTTGGAAATGGCTTTGCATCATGCAACATGGAAACCGTAGACTCAGGGCAGAATATTCTCCTAAGGAGTAGAAGCTTGCTTCACTGCGTGAATAGAAAATACATGTGTTTGGTGGATATGCGTACATCCTTGGGGAGGAGGAAAGGCAGATGGGAGGAGAGCAAGGGAGGAGGAAATTTGAGCAAACTATTTAAAATAAAACGCAAGCAAAGACTGGCCGAAATTACTTGGTTTTGTGTTCCCGCCATTGGTTTTCAAGGTGCAGCAGTGGGTCAGAGTTCATATTTGTGTCTAGAGAAAACCTCACCACAATGAATGGGGTGGAGGGTAATGCCCCGGATGAGACTCCAAAGAGGGGTGTGTTTTTAAATATTGAAAAAAATATAAGAAAACATGTCCTCCGTTTAGCTCAAAACCAGGGATATGACACCGCTATTGGAAAAGAGGCGGACTCAGGCCCCCTCGAGGGGGGTGAGGGATGTCCAAATTGGACTGTGAAAGCAATGACTGTCTGGGCTGAGGGAGGACCTTGCTTAAATTGCCTTCTCGAGAATGATGGGATTACAGTGGTTTGTAATTCACGTGGCTCACGTTGTGCGTGCAGGACAAAATCATCAGCGTGTAAAAATCCCCCCAAATGTGAAGAAACTTCTGTGCCACCATTGCTATTTTCCGTGTTCATCGAGGCTACAACATGCGGGCCGAGCATTCACCTTGCAAATGGCATAACAGAGTTCAAAAGATCCATAGCAAAATGACCAGGATATACAACAGGCTGGGAAGGGAGGGTAGGAGAGTGCGATTAGGAAAGGATTTAAATTGAAGTTAGGCTCTCCAATTTTTTTTCATAGAAAAGACACGCGATCATCGCTCTGATGTTCTACACATTCTGGATAATCAGAGAAAAAGAACTGCCGGTTTTAGTGTTGTCATCTGCTAGAAACACTCTGTTTTCTTACCTCTCTGCACACAGCTGCTATCTGGCCTTCATCCATACAGGTCTCGGTGACCACATCAGTCAAAGAGCCGCCAGCCAAGTATTCCATGACCACCCATAGTTCATCACCCACTAAGTAGCTATAAGAAGAGAATAAAAAGACTTTGACTCAGGTCTAAGGAAGTGGGGACTCTTTTATATCCCCATTAAGGTAATTTACAATTAATGTCTGCATTTGGCCATATTATATAACAAGAGGAAAATATCCATGACGGTGATGAGATATTCCTTAGCATTAGAGAATATGCATGAAAGTCAAAGGATCATCAGATATAACGGCACACCATGGATGAAGGAAAAGAGCAAGGAGGCCTCTGGTGACTGACTACTGTCAGTCATTCCACTATAAAAGCTACTTTCAATAAACAGGAGCAGTGAATAGCCACTATGTTATATCATATGCCATAATGTTGACTTCTTGGACTGAACTGGCCCATGGTATACAGAGTTGCAAGTTATGCATTCAGATCTCAGCATTGATTTTGAGGCTACTGGATTAATTACTGAACTCTTTTCAAGCAGTTTCTGAATCAAAAAGACTCCTGTTCACAATGGATTTACCGTGCTGAGGTCTCAATCCTCCAGCAGAAATCAGGGGCAACAGGCCCAATTTCTTTAGGCACCTATTGAGGAGCACACGCAGATGATCAAACATGGGGAGGAAGGTCACCAGAGCCCTACAATTTGGACAAAATTCAAAACATCTGGAGTCATCTGAAGGCACAGTGGCAGGATGATCGGGTCTCTCTTCCCCTCCCCGCCCCAACTCAGCCAGAGAGAAATTTTGGAGAATGGAGTGAGCCCACTGATCCTGTCCTGCCCTAAGTTTGACATCAATAAGAAGCAAGACTTTCTATCCAGTGGTGCTCGAACTGCAGTGCCTATAAGATTCACCTGGGGAGCCTATTAAATGTGAAAATTACAGGCTCTACCTCATCAGTAACAGAAAGCATCCTAGAAATCTCCATTTTGTACAAATGCCATTTTGACAAAATGAAAAAAGCAGAGTGAAGTCCCTCTGCTACAGATAGTCCCTAAATGGCACTTTATGAAACAGAGGCTTCGCCTGTAAAATTTGACTCCTTTTTTTTTTTTTTAATCTCCCTTTTCCCCTCTTTCTTTCCCACCGGTCCACCTGGCACAAAACACAGAAAGCAAGATTTTAAGCTCATTGAGGTTGCAGACCTAGTCTTACTTCCTTTATATCCCCCCAGAGTACACAGCACAGCGGTGCTAAACAAACACTTACTGAAATTGAATGAGACAGATGTTAACCACAAGTGAAGAGTTAGTGCTGTCTTTAAATGCCTATTTATAACCCACTGCTAATACCACTGATGAAAGAGACATTAATTACCTGGTCTAGGAAAAAGGTTTGAGATTAAAGTCTCAATTCCCTAGACCTCACTGTCAGTTAATCACAAAGCGCCCATTAAAGCGGGGCCATTACAGCCAGCCCTCTTCACTTAGACACCCAGAGACTGCACTGGCTCCAAACAGTTGATGAAGTGTTTAAAACACCGCAGCTCTCCTCTATACGCAGTAGTCTATTTCCTGCCAACACGGAGTCACGATGCTCAAAAGGAAATTACACAAACTGCTCATGCTTAGAAGCGAGACCATAAAATGTGTCTTCAAATGTTTGATGGTGGACAAAGAAAAATGGGTGCAAATTTAGCAGTAGATGTGATACTCTACTCTTTTGCAGCATCCGCGAGGTTTTTCTAGCATTTGAGAAGTATTTGGAGAACGGACGCTAAATGAACAGATGTTAAATAAAATAATTTGCCAAGAAAAGAAAACAAGTACACAATGAGGGAAACCACTTACCTATCTAAATAATTAACAATATTGGGGTTCTTATTTTCCCTCATGACCAGAATTTCATTAATAATTAATTCCTTTTTGGGCTGCTGTTGAAGGTTCATCTGCTTTATGGCCACCTGAATGGTGATTAAAATGCACAAATGAGTTACAGTCATTAAACACGCACACGCATATATATATATATATATATATATATATACACATATATATATATTTGGCACACAGAGTAAGGCATACAAATTCTTTATCTTACTAGGCTCTTTCTCAGTGCCACAAACCCATACCCCTTTTCTTTGGTCAATCACGAGTAAACCATCCACTTTAGACACTTTGGACATCTATGAAATAGATTCCCACGTCAACCCAGTGCCGCCCATTTTATCAGACATAGGTGCTATCAAAGAAGAAATGTGATTCGTGTGAATTAAAGGACAATTAAAAAATCAGGATTGAATGTTAGCACTCACCTCTTGTCCTGTTGCAATGTCTAGCGCTGTATAAACAGTACCTGATGCCCTGTGAAGGTGAAAGTTATCAAATGAATAAGCAATCCAGCTGCTATCCATAGATTTTACTTGAAATAAAATGTCATTTTTAGGAGAGGGAAATCAGCAAACTCAAGATTCAAGGATGAAATAAGCACGGAACGCCCCTTTTGCGTGGTAATTACAGCTGAAACAGTCTTAATGTATCCCTTTGGGTGGGCCAGTAATTTCAGTTGGACTTTCCAGCACTATGCAGTAATGAATTGAGCAAAATGGCCCTGCTCCTTTTAGGAAGCTCCTGGAATATTCTGAATACTCCCCGGATGTGGCAACAGCTAACCTTGTAGTCCTCTGATTAAACTGAAGTACGGTTTAGGAAACAATACATCATCTCTTGTTTAGGCAACTGTAAATTAACCTTTCTTCTTAGCACATGGACAGAGTGCTTTTCCCATAGATATCTCTTTTTTTTTTTTAATGTTTTTATGTTTGTTTATTTTTGAGACAGAGAGAAACAGAGCATGAGTTGGGGAGGGGCAGAGAGAGAGGGAGGCACAGAATCCGAAGCAGGCTCCAGGCTCTGGGTTGCCAGCACAGAGCTTGATGCGGGGCTCGAACCCACAAACCGTGAGATCATGACCTGAGCCGAAGGAGGACACTCAACCAGCTGAGCCACCCGGGCACCCCTCATAGATTTCTGACTCTTAAGAATATTTTTAAGTAACAAATCAATCACACTCAGTGCCGTACTTACCTAGTGCTGCAGCTACACCAAGTAACGACAACACGGCCTTACTGTTGAGACATTTTTTTTTTCAAAATTTCTCAACAGCTTCTACTATGACGTTTCCCTCCAACCCACCACCCTTTAAAAATCTATCATTCCTAAGGTCCTGGTAGTATTCATGCTCCCATTCTAACTTCAATTGTAAGGGTCTTTGCTTTGCACATAGAAGTTGTGTAGTGAAGGTGAATTCACAGTGACAACGTTCTGTGAAACACATATGCATTCTGAACCACATCCCTACCTCTATTCCCAAGAAAAAGGAAAACCCCGTCAGTTTCATCGAAATGTTTGTGGTGAGTAATGGAATAAGAATGGAGATCAGTCCTGTGATTCACAGGACACGGTAATGCTCCAACATTGCTACTTAAAATTTCTAGTAATTGTTGTTTCTCGTTTGTTCTCTATACATCACTTGCTCTTTTGTTTTCTGGGTCCAGGATTTCTTTTCTTATGTCAGCCATTTCTTTGCCATTCTTCTCCCTTCTTCTACTTGGATGAACCAAAATATTTCTCCTAAGCCTAGGAAGTTTACATTACTGCTCCTAATGAATAAAATGAGTGGGATAGTATAAGGACTATTTGACTACTAAGAGAGATCTGAGTCCTAATATTTATCCTAAGAGCAACAAGCTGTGTGACCTTGGGCCAGTCACTTCCCTGTTCTGGGCTTCAGTCCCCTCAACTGAGAAAATAGTGATCACAAGAACAGTGAAAATATATGGAGCATGTTGTACATGTCAGACAATGCACTAAGAATTTAATAGAAATCACCTTATGTCTATTACCTACCTCCACATTACAGACAAGGAAGCTGAGGCTCAGAGAGGTGAAGTGACCTGCCCTAAGTTAAACAGCTTATAGTCCAAGTCTGTCTGACTCTCTGACCTGTAAAATATAGGAAATGGGCCACTTTATTTCTACAGTTCTTTATTTTTTGAAATTTTCAAATTTATTTAATTATTTTTATTATTTTTTAAAGGTTTTGGGGTTTTTTTTTTTGAGAGAGAGAGAGAGAGAGAGAGAGAGAGAGAGAGAGAGAGAGAATGAGTGGGGGATGGGCAGAGAGAGAGGGTGAGAGAGAATGTCAAGCAGGCTCTGTGCTATCAGCATAGAGCCTGACTTGGGGCTTGAACTTATGAACCATGAGATCATGACTTGAGCTGAAATCAAGAGTTGGATGCTTAACTGACTGAGCCACCCAGGAGCCCCACAAAATTTATTTCAAAGTAGTATCTATGCCCAACGTGGGGCTTGAACTCACAACTCCGTGATCAAGAGTTACACGCTCCACTGACTGAGCCAGCCAAGCTCCCTAATTTCTAAGGTTCTTGAATTTCATGATGTACAATCTACAAATTCTGCTCTCTTCATTCTGCATAGGTACATACATATCTATTGGAACTTGACTAAAAAATTGCCCTTACTCAACAGGTGTCACCTAAAGCAGGACTTACAAGTTTCAGAAATTCCTCAGGTTTGAGGCTGATGTGAAATCAGCCTCTCAGTTTTGTATATTTGAGATTCTGGGTTCAGAGCACGCGGTTCGTGCTCATTAAGTATTTGCTGAATGAACAAATTAATAAAAGTCTTTTCAAACAAACATCTAACTGCAACTAAACCTTTCCTTTCTGTGGAGGAATCTTCTACCTAAACCAACATAAAACACTTCCCTTGTGGAATAAGCTATCCGACATTTCTGATTTCAGGGGCCACTTTGTGATTGGTCCTTCTGAACTCAGAATCACCTGGGCTCAAAAGAATAGATCACCTTGACTTGGTGTGTATTTCAACTGCATGAGCCCCGAACAACTACCTAAATCTGTTTGTAGAATTATATTCAAAAATGCCTGGGTGGCACCTGGGTGGCTCAGTCTGAGGTTAAGCATCTGACTCCTGATTTCAGCTCAGAACGTGATTATCATGGTTCATGAGATCGAGTCCCACATCTGTCTCTGCACTGACAGTGCTGAGCCTGCTTGGGATTCCTTCTCTCTCTTTCTGCCTCTCCCCTGCTCATACATGCTCTCTCTCTCCCTCAAAATAAATAAATATTTAAAAAATACCTTTTCTTGCACGTTTCCTTCAGGTGCCATAAAAGTAACAGTATTTGCAAAATGAGATAATGATAGCATCTTCCTCACAGACCCACAGGAAATTGAAAGGCACAATCTATGTAAGCATTCAGTCCTGTGCCCAGATCAGAGTTGGTGCTTAACACGGTAACTGCTATTATTATCAATTTACTTCCCCATCTCCAAGCCAAAACATCCTTGCTAGTGCTTGTCCCTGTTTTCAAAAAGGACAAAGGTAGTGGGGCACCTGGGTGGCTCAGTAGCTTGGGCAGCCGACTCTTGATTTCGGCTCAGGTCATGATCTCACGGTGGTGAGATCGAGCCCCATGTTGGGCTCCGTGCTGACAGCTTGGGATTCTCTTTCCCTCTCTCTCTGCCCTCTCCCCTCCCCTTCTCTCTCTCTCTCTCTCTCTGTCAAAAATAAATAAATAAACTTAAAAAGAAACAAAAAGGACAAAGGACAAAGGGGGCTTACTGGAATGCTTTATAGAGGTTCCACGTCTCTTTTTTTCCTTAGTGTTTTTGCCTTTTTCTTTCTTTTTGGAATGCCTTTATTGAACAAAACCATATGTAAAAATCCCTCAATATAAAATAGGAGCTGCTCCAGCTAAAGCTGCTAGGGAGAGAGGCCCAGCATCCCTGCCCCAGTGGCTTTCCCCTATTCACCACCCTGTCCCCTGCCCCCAATCCCATTTCTACTGTCCTAAAAGCTAAACTTGTGATTGACTTGGAGTGCAAAGGGGATTAGTGTTTAACATCTCTAGAGATTTACCTTTCAAATCCTTGGGTTTTGGGCCCCCCAACCTCCCTCAGCATTTCATTGTCTTAAATTGCCAGAGTCCTAACGCTGGAATCCCAATATCCTGGATTTTGTGGCA